AATAAATGTAGTATATTGGGATACGATGAATGTTAAATTTAGAATAAATCATAATCACTCGCTAAATGATCAGATCAACGATTATGATCAAAAGTAGTGGTATCTCCAAAAGGGTAAATTACAGTAAACCCGAAGAACTTTTAGTGTTTTGCAGGAAAACCCAATAACTTTAAAAATCGCATTAAACCCCAGTAACTTTTGCAGAAAACACCCAAAGCAAACATTGTTACATCTAACGTGGCACGTGCAACTCATGTGATTTGAAAAGACAAAATACCCCTTAAATTATTAAAAGGGCTTTATGATCTTTTTTATATTTGCAACTCTAAAAACAAAAATATCTCATCTTTTGTCATTTGCTGTTCTCTTACTGGCCCTCAGCTTGAGGACTCAACCCTAGTTTTTTTTACTGAAATTGTCCATCAAGATATCTTTTTATGCTGTTTTACGTTTCTAATTTGTGAGGATTATCTACAAACGCTGAACCTTATTGGAGGTTTTCTGCAGTTCCAAAAGTTAATGAGGGTTTCATGAGATTTTGAAAGTTATTGGGGGTTTATTGCAAAACATTGAAAGTTCTTAGGGCTTTAATGTAATTTGCCCTAATACAAATTGAAAACATCTACTCATTCCTGGTCTAATGGCGTGATCTTATACAATCTTCTAATCAGAAATATTAATCAGAACAATAATGAATTATGCGGATCACCTACGGAGTATGGATCAAATATAATTAAAGTTGTATTCATAAAATCATCGACATCAAGAATATAATAATAAGGCAAAAACTCAATGCCAGTCCTAACGTTTTAACCATATTTCAATTGAATCCTTAATATTTGAAACTTATTGAAGAAGGTCCCCAACATTATCTCTGTCATCAAATTTAATCCATTTTGAAGTTCCACTATTCCTTGCTGAGGTGGCAGGACCTTTATGTAAATTTTGAATTGAGGCTTAAGCTTGGTCAATTTAGGTGAGTCAGTGACAAACACGAATGATGTAGTGAATGCAAACTGGGGATTTTGAACTGTTTTCCGGTTCTATTTGTTCTATTGGATATTTGGATATTGAAATATTCGACATGTCGCTTATGTGGGTGATGTCGAGACACCATTTTTTTAAACAACTTTTAAGAAAGGACCTCACTCATTTATTTCTCGTAGTGCCAAAGTAGTATCACAAGAGTAGTATACTTATCATTTTCCTTTTGGAAAAGACGGACCTTCTTTGATGAGTTTCAAATGTTAAGGACTCAACTGAAATAGGGCTAAAATGTTAGGGACTTGCATTGAAGCTTTGCTTGACAATAACAATGTCTAATAAGTGAAAACTCTAGCATCAGAATCCCAATCCCTTCTTAAAAAAAAACCTAATCCGTAATAAAAATATCCCTTTAACCGATCGCTGATCCTCCAATCTGTCCTCTGCCGGTAACAAAAAGATTGGACCTCTACTAACAACAATCTTCAGAATGAATTCGATTAGGGTTTCAGGCCTCACGATGAGCGCACCATCCAATATACTTTGACGAAGAGATAAGTTGCTTTGACACGGAAACATTGTCTCGGTTCTCATGAAAGGATTCTAGACCAAAGCCACGAAAGAGAAAAGCAAAAGTTTTTACTCCCGCCATTGGGCAAATGTAGTGCAGACATTCCCATATGAGTTTCCTATACCACCCAATCCAATCAAATAGCTAGAGCTGCTTCTCGCCGCGACAAACATATACATTTCAGTATAGTCCAAGGTATGCCAACATATACGAGATGATGAGTTGATAAATCAGAACTGCAGAGCGGGTAATTTGCCGGTTACCCCTCATCATCAGAAGAGAAGGAAATGAGCTCCAAATCCAATGAGTCAAGAGGCACATATGCAATTGAAGAACGAGCAAAAGCAGTGCACAAGAAGAGCGAGGTAGAGAGAGAGAGAATAAGAAAAGAGATGGTGTTTCTTTTGCAATGTCTAAGGTGCTCCGTATAGTGGGCTGGGACTTGGAATCTCAGAAAACTCACGGGTCACTATAAGAATTGAAATCACGGGCAAATAATCTTTTCTTTGATTCATTCACTTAAAATTTTACAGGTTCAGTACATTTGCATTCACTAGCAGCCCCTTTTAAGTCACGGTTCTGCGCAAGGAGACTGAATCCCCTCACACGTCAAGCCTACAATAGAATGATATGTAAGTACTATTAATTAACATCCAAATATAGATAACAAGCACTCATCAAATATTGTCCTAATCCTAAGAATCATCTTCAGTAATATCTATGTGAAATTTCATTACACTCAAGACTTGAGCTAAACATCAAATATTCTAGAATTATAGACCATGAGATTATCCGTTCGCATGCAATATAGCAATTGCAACACTTCATTCTACCTAGCTCTCTAAAAACAAATAAGAAATCCTCGCTCGCACCCCTAGCGACCTACTAATGGACCTCGCCCTCCCAATTACCGTCATCTACTGGATGGGCGGTTTAAAACCTGACTCGATAACCTGCCTCCTCTCCCTCTTCGTCGTCCTCTTCAATGCTCTAGTCCTACGAAGCCTCGGGCTCACGATTGGTGCCGTTGTTGTGGAGGTTAAACAAACAACTACTCTTCCTTAATTTGGTTACTCCCCTCTTGTTTCTTACTACTGGTGGGTATTATGTGTGGCAGATACCTATATTTATTTATAAGTTGTTGTTTGGAGTTCAGTTTGAGGAGGAAGATGTGCATGGGTGTTCAAGGGGAGTTATGTGCAAAGTGGTGGATTATACAGCGATTAGGTCTGTTTGTTTGAATCATATGCGGGTAGATGTGTGCATTATGACACTTATGCTTGCTGGTTAAAGGCCCATTGCTTACTCTGCATCGTCTGAAACCGAAGTAGAGAAGAAAGAATTCACGATAAGCAGGAAATTGGAAGAAAATGGAACCACAAATGAGGTGAATTATCTAGCAACAAAGAAGTCATGAATGTAACAATTAATAGAAATTTTTTGGAAATAAATCTGATTGTACAAAAGAAACAGAGATTTTGTTTGATGTAGAATACACGGCGGACATATTTATGGAGAAGCGGGACAAACACAAGCCCAAACACGGACCCGGTCGAGGAAAATAACTTGTCATGAAGAACGGGTCATATCTTTCAAACCGTAAGTCGGAATTGGATGAATTATATATGAAAATCGCTTATTTTTTCGACACAGAGTCAACCAAACCCACCGTTGTTCGGTTTGCCGCAGCCCGTTTTGCCAAATTCCCTCCAGATTGAGAGATATCAGCGTTTTTGTAAGTTTTTTACTATTTTAGGTACTATTTTAGGAGTCTGTTTTGGTTAGGAAGCATCTAAAATAATCGATAAATCAAACATGCAAAAGTGGATTATAATTCAAAAATATTGTTATATTTGGAATTCACTAAGTTTAATAAGCCCTTAAAAGTTGATCACGGGTCAAATTAATGGGCTAAGCCGTATGACCAAAAGGCTCGACCTGGATATAAGCACAAATCGACCAAACAAGCTGACCCTTCTAGCAAATCAAGTCTGAAACGAAAGGCATCTTCAAGTCAAAATCCATCAAAGAAGTCCAAGTCCGAGATGAAAGGCGTCTTTTAGTTGGACTCTACTAGGGGACAGCCCAAATGAAAGAGTAACTTGTTAGTCTCATCAACGTCATTCACATTCAATGCATGGCCAGCCGGCGCCCATGCTTCGATGTCCAGTTGTCATCGCATTAAATGTATGGTCGGTCTCATAATAACTCCTTGGACGTTGCCCGCACTTCTACCATTCTGTTGCTATCATATTAAATACGAGATTGGTACTCCTTTACATCCACCAACCGGCCGCCAATGCATGTAAAGTGGAAGTAGAACGCCAGCTCCGTCAATTAGGTAGAATTACCAATGTGCCCCCCATGAATCCTCTATAAATCGTGACCAACTCCACCACACAAAGGTACACTTGATCAAAACCCTAGACCGGATTCTACATTCTCTCTTCAGATTGCTTTATCTATCACTGACTTGAGCGTCGAAGGGCACACTTGGGAAACATCCGCCGAGCCTCTAACATTTGTTATTTATGCAAGGACTTATTTCCTTAGTTTATCAGTCATTAGAGAAGATTATTGGACCAAAAACTCCTCTAAATATCCTCCCACTTATACAATTAACTTTATGACATAAACAGAAATTATAATCCACTTTGACCGAGTATGATTAGGTTCTATGTGACATAGATATTCAATATAATTTCTCCATACTCCATCCACCTTTTTCATGGAATGAAGTGCACAAACGCAAAAAACTTGTGCAAAGAGTAAGGAATCTCTTCTAAAGCTTAAGAAAAAAAAAAGCAGAGCGATACCAACGAGAGTTGAGAGCGGTTTGGGAGCAAAAATCAATCTCATTTTGGCTTTTAACTGGATCTAACTATGTCAGGACTTTTGGACCAGTTTTTGACCTCAAACCAGGTCAAAATTGTTCCACCTCTCCTGCCTAGCACTACTCTTAACTGACCCCTTATCATCTCATTTTTCTGATATCAACAGAGTTTGGGGTATAAACGGGGACAAATTTTGAAAACCATCCTATTTACAAAAAAAATTCGGTTTTGACGAAAAAAGCTATGAAACTTCACGGGACTTCAAGTCCCGTGAAGTTTAGCACCTCCTAATATTAATGGATTAAAGTCGCCAACAATTTCATGGGACTTCAAGTCCCATGAAGTTTAGCACCGCCTATTGTTAATGGATTAAAGTCGCCAACAATTTCACGGGACTTGAAGTCCCGTGAAATTTGTTAAAGTGCCGAAACTCCACGGGACTTTCAAGCCCCGTGGAGTTGCAGTCATTTTCCAGAGAGCTAATGTTAGTAGCAGAGACTTTGATAACACAAAATGAAGCCAATGGGTTATTTAAATCATAGCTTAAAATGTCCACTTTTTCCTCGTTTCTTATTTATCAATAAAAATGAATTTTTATCGCATAAAATTACCTCCAAAATCTCATGGGTCCTCTTCATATTCATCCTACAAGGATCCTCGCACTTAATCTTCACCAACTCTGAGCTCCTCCACCTTTCATGGATCCCATTCACAATCCCCTCCGTAATCCCAGCTTTTCCAACCTTCAACCTCTTCTCTAGCCTAATCCCAACCCTCCTCAGCCTCTTCAGCTCCGCCACCGTCGGCATGTTCTCCTCCTCCTTCTCCTTCCTCCTCAGCTCCCTTCCCTCCTCCTCCTCCTTTCGCCACAGCTCTCGAAACCTCCTAATCCCAGTTCCAGGCTCATGTACTGGATTCTCCGGCGAGCTCCAGCTGGAGTCGATCGTGCGGCCGACGCGGTGCTTGGGGAGCTCGTGAGGGGTAGGGATGAAGATCTCGCCGGCGGAGGTGAGGTTAGGGTTAGTGTTAGGGTTAGGGTTTGGGGGAGGTAGCCGAGGCTGCGGAGCTTGTCGGAGATTCGTTGGATGGCGGAGGTGGAGGCGGTTTCGGGTCGGGTTGAGAGGGAGGAGCGGGGGATGTTGGGTTTGAGGGGTTTAGGGGTTTTGGAGGGGAGGGGAAGGGATGGGAGAGAGGGAGAGCTTGAGAACACGCGGGGAAGGAACAGTTGCTTTGGATCCCGAATCGGATCTTACAAGATCCGACCCTATCTGAAAAAATTGTCGCCCTTAAATAACGTTATTATAGCTTGCTAAACTTCATTAGACTTCACGTCCCGTGAAATTTTAGTCCAAACCAATCCAGTTTTAGCTCGATGGCCGATACTAAAGGACTGTTTGGTTGTTGTTGATAAAGTTGTGTATTTATTACACAATTTGGAAAGTTGTTGTCCACCTCATCAGTTTCACTGAACATCTTTTCTTTGTTTGTTTTTGATTCCATTGGAATCATAGATTGCTTGTTTGGTTTGCAAAATGTAACTTTAATTGCTTGTTTAAAAAGTGTAAAAAGTGGTTATTATGTGGTCTCTACTTAAATGATTCCATTGGGTAGCCCCTCACTTCTGACACATATGTCAGTTTTCCTTCAAAATCAGACAATTTTGAAGGGATTTGTGAATTCATGCCACATCAGCATAGTAAATCATTTTATACTATTTTCACAACTATAAACAAACAATTAAAAAGGAGGAAAGCTGACATTAGGACCCGCTTTTTTATACTTTCCATAGTTTTACTTAGAAGAAAGTTACAACCAAACAGCCTGTAAGTAAGGGTTTAATAATATTTTTTTAGAAAAGATTGCTCTTTATAATTTATTTTGTAAATAGAATGGTTTTCAAAATTTGTACTCATTTACCCGTATCCCTGCTCATAATGCGTGTTTACTTGCCATCTCAACTCTCCACATCCCCGCATCACGAGCGCGCTCGTGCGGGCCAACTTCCGCGCTGCTTCCATCACCGATTTTTATAAAAAAAGTAAAAATAAAAAAAAATAACCGATACCGCTTATAAAAGCAACCCAAACCCTAGATGCCACAACCAAAACTAGGTCAAATGAGAGCTCAGAAAAAAAAGAGGAGAACAAGATGATGGCGGTGATCATCGGNCGGCCGCTTTCTTCGTCGATAGGTATAAAGATTCTCTGCTTTCCACACATCCAAAAATTTGGGTTTTACATTAGATTTTGAAAGTCACCAGATTTGATCGTCGATGTGGTAGAACTGATTGCGAGATGCTAGTTTCGGAGAGGACCTGATCTTTTAGGATAGATTTGAACTTGTTATTGTCTCTCTTGTGGCCTAATTTCGAGATTTCAGTTTTTGTTTTCCCGATATCTATATAATTATGGGACGGTTCGCGGCTGTTATTTCGCGCTTTCCTGATTCGATGAGAGAATGATCGGATTCTGTTGTAGCGACGGCAATCTGTTGTGTTTCGTGATAATTTTTTATGGTCGTGATACTAGATGATAATTGTTGTGGTGATTGAATGAGAAGGATGAAGAGGATCGACGTATCGATGCGGGGTTAGAATAAAAAGTCTCACATTTTCTGATTCTCCCAAGTAGTTGTTTTTTTTTTCTTCCAGTTAGGACACGAGGTTCATGTTCTTGTGTTTGATTTATGATTTGGCTAGTTATGGGCAGGTAGATCTTGATTCGGTGAGAGAGTGAGGAGTCACAATATATTTTCATAACACCATGATTCATCTTGTCTTCATTATTGTAAAGGAGGGAGCGACATGAAGTAGGATTGAATAGAGAAATCATTGTGAATTGATTTTCTTCAGTTAAACGAAGAGTGTAATCTTGGTGGAGTCATTACGTTTGACTGTTTCAGAGTCATCTTTGCTGTCGTGGTTAGGATTTGAATTCTTTTCGGAAAAAGGCTGACGTATGATAGTGTGGATTGGAGTTTATATCTAGCTACGGATTTTTGTGATGCGCACAATTTGTTTCTACCTATGAATATGCACTGTGTTTATTTATTTATTTCCTTTTGATAGATCCTACTATATATATGAGATTTCACATACGCACACATTTGTAACTGTTAAAAATGTGACGCAAAATTAGTCAGAGGTTGAATTTCAAAGTCACATTTGGTTGAGAGAAGCCATTTGTAACTGTTAAAAATGTGAAAGAAGACATTTGGTTGAGAGGTTTGGTTGAAGATCTCGGCTTACACCAAAGTGTCACTTCGGTATTTTGTGACAGCCAGAGTGCTATACATTTGACGAAGCATCAGATGTATCATGAAAGAACCAAAGATATAGATGTCAGGTATCATTTTATCAAAGAAATTAAAATCATCAAGATTGAGAAGATTAGTACTGCAGATAATCCAGCAGATGTGATGACGAAGCTCGTACCTTTGCGCAAGTTCGAGCACTGTTTCGAATTGCTTAAAGTTCAACAAAGCGGAGGTTAAGCTCGGGCTAGACATCAAGAGTAAAGAGAAGATCTTCGTTTTCAAAGTCAGGGTGGAGATTTGTTAAACATGTGACTTTGAAATTCAACCTCGGCCTAATTCTGTGTCACATTTTTCAAAATTTGCAACCCCACCTAACATTCCACCAAACATTTTTTTTATTATATTATTATTTTTGTAAGCTATATAAGGAGGGGTGTGGAAGGGTTTAAGATCATCAGTCGGAGAGAAAAAGAAAAGAATTAGTTAGAGAGAAGAGAGTGAGATAGAAAGAGAAATCTTTCTTTGTGTGATTCTCTTCTCTGGTTAGAGAGTGATCTCCTCTTTTGTAATCTTCTCTTTTGTGATTAGTGCCCGTAGACGTAGGTCATACTGCCTGGACCACATTAAATACTTGTGTGTTGTTCTCTTTGTCCACTATTGTATAGACATCTTCTGTGTCTGTGAAGCCCCTCCGCTGCAACAGTAACCTTCTAGTTTGTTTCTTATTTTATTATTATCTTTTTATTGAAATGTTGGCATGCTTAGACTTCATGGTTTCTAAAAAGAGAAGATTGTTTGCAATTCTGCAGAAATTTTAGATCTCTTCAATTTAAAAATAGAGTTCTTTCTGATGTGCATTTGATCTTGCTTTGCTTTGATAGAAAGATCCAACTTCTGCTGAATCAGTACTTGCTTTCGTCCTTCTTCATTCTGGTAACTAGGTAATATATTTTTTTTCACTTAATTAATTCTTTATTAGCATTTTATGGCTAAGAAGACTGAACTGGTATTGTATTGTAATCGACCAGGATATTTGGCAACTAGCTTTTGTTTGTAAACGATATTAGCTGCACAAATCTTACTTACATGGCTATCCAGCCTTAATGCCGATGTCCATATTTGTTTTGGCTGCAATAATAGGGTAAGATGCTTCATCATTGCTTTTCTTATCAATGAAGCTTCCAATTACTTTTTTTTTTCTCTTGATTAATTTGGAATTTACTGCTAACAGAACTGAGGCTGTGAAGCTGCTCACGAATGAAAGGCAGAACAATGCTCAGAGGCACTATCATCTGTGTATTGGTTGCAGTATTAATGGTTTTGTACAGGGACCAGCAACTATTGGAAACTGTGATTATGATCTACCATCTAACAGTGAAATAAGTGCTATATGTCAGCCTGAGCTAGCTAGATAAGTGGCATATTGGCGTGCTATGCTCAAACAAAACTCTTCATGTATGAAAACGGTAACTGCTTAGTTCTAGCCAAGTGCTCTTGCAATAGCTGGGCAAGCCACTCCATCAGCTTGAGGGTCATGAAGGTGAAGTCCATGATGGAGACTGAGCTGTAGAAGATGGAGAATATCCATCTCACTAAACACAACCCTCCGCCTCTTGTGCATGAAGTGCCCACGGCTGCTCTTAGTCAGAAGGCGGGATCAAAGATCTGGTCGGAAGTCAATGTGGCTTTAGACTTTTTCAGAAGTAATAATGAAGGAGTGCTCGTCATACGGGAGTGGGTGAGGTTGGGGAGACCACTGTTTTCAGCACCTAGCAATGCATTGACCAACCACCTATCGCTTGGATTTCATTGGGTCGTTTTTATAACTGGTAGAGCCCTGCCATCCATGGCTTAGGTTACGAATGAGACCTAATGATAACCTAGTGGCAGGTTGTTCAATACATTGTTGAGGTGCTGAAGTACAGTGGTCTTTCCCACACCACCCATTCCCCAGATACCGAGCATTCCTTAATTACTGCTTCTGAGAAAGCCGAGAGCCATGTCGACTTCCGACCGAGAGTGGTCGTGAGCACTTTCTGCATAGAAAGTGGAGGGTTGGTATTTTATGAGTTAGATATTGTTAAATCTTTTGCCGCTCGTTCTCCACCTTTAGCCTTCACCTCTCTGTCCCTCAAGCTGAGCAGCGATTGAAGGAGCAAGTGTTAAGAACCGTTCGGTTTCTGTATTTGTACTTGATGATAGCTGCAGCTTCTTTCTCGAGGTATTCTACAGTTGCAAGCCATACTTGATACTTCTGCTACTTTTGTGGCCACCTTTGCCCTTTGGTTCATCGAGTTGGACCTTATCAGAAGCGTACACAGTAGAAGCTATGATCTAGCATTCCAGCAATTTTGCCAAGCAAATTGTAAGAGAGTTGAACACTAGCAGATCGATCTTTGATCCTTGTTCATGACAGCATGCCTGTGGCTTTGTGAGGGAGTTCTGCTTTTTTTCCCCCCCAAGGGTTTCCCATATGTACCCAAAATTATAATAGCTTTGTATTTTGTTCATATTTAACTCTCATAGATAGATGTATCTGATACTAAGAAGTTGAAATTCAAATATATGAATGATGGATCCACAGCTCAAGTTGATTTATACACGCATTTACATCAAATTTTCACGTTATTGATGGAAAAGATGCTTGTCTTAGAGTTTGTAATTTCGGAAAAAACCTCTGAATTAAGGGTGTTGGAGATAATTTTTTTTTCACTGGATCCCTGTTATTTGTAATTTGCGAATAACTAAATTCTCCTTTAAACGCCCTTGGGGGTTAGCGGGGTACTTTGCATATAAATGACTAACCCTCTCAAGAACATACAGGTTAGGAAAAATGTAAGTTACTTGCCAACTGCATGTCTAGTGAGAAAAGTTTAATGTTCAGATGTGTTTTTTAAGAAAAGTTTATAGTTCAAGGGCTTTTTTAGAAGCTCCAAAATTTAGGACGAGTTTAGAGATTATAAAAAAGTTGCGGGGTCATTTGGGGGACAAATTTTTAAAACCAACTCTTTTGGTTTTTTATTTATAAAAAACAACCTATTTCAGTTTTATTTGCAAAAACCGACCTGGTTTCAGCCTCAGCGCTGAAACCAGGTCGGTTTTTGAAAAAAAGTTTCCGAAACTTCTCGGGAGTTGAACTCCCGTGAAGTTTAGCAGCTTTTAATTAAACTGCTAAACTTCACGGGAGTTGAACTCCCGTGAAGTTTAGCAGTTTAATTAAAAGCTGCTAAACTTCACGGGAGTTCAACTCCCGAGAAGTTTCGGAAACTTTTTTTCAAAAACCGACCTGGTTTCAGCGCTGAGGCTAAAACCAGGTCGGTTTTTACAAATATTTTGAAAATGGATCGTTTTTTACAAATAAAAAATCAAAAAGGTTGGTTTTGAAAATTTGTCCGTCGTTTGGGACACCTTCAAAGTTCAGAGAATTTTCTGAGTCAAAATAGCTCAGGCGTTGCACTGGATCAAATCAGAGGCATAATGCAGTTACGAAATCTTCATCTCAATGTTTTTATTACTGTATATTCCCTTGCAATTTTCGTGATCACTGGACTACTTTCTTCGAACCTTAACTATTTCCTACTTTCTTTCAAACCATTTCTCTTTAATTTTTCTTCTCTCTCATTGCTCTCTCTCTCTTTGAATCTGTTGTGTTTCAGAGTTTTACAACAGAGTTTTTTTAAATGTTAAATTTTCAGATTTTTCTTATATAATTCAAAAATGCACTTTTGGGAATTTAATTTTTTCCTCGAACTAGGAGTGAGAAACTTAATTTCATAGACAAATAGGTTAAAAAAAATAAAAAAACTGTTAAATAAATTGGAGGAAATTAAAATAGAATTAACAAAAGAAGACGGAATAATATTACACACACCCATTTTACTACATGATGTTATTGGACTGAGATCCTCTTTAATTAGGTTGTAATTAATGAGGGCGCAATGCCCATAATTTTTATCACTCATTCCTCTATTAATGTGATTAAGCTATGTGGGATTTCCTTTCCGCTATTGCGATAGCTTTTTTTAAGGTAGTGGTTTTCGAGATAATAGTGATAGTTATTTTTAAGGTAATGATTTTCGAGATAATAGTGATCTAATTTCGTTCCTTAAAATTGGGATGCATGATAATAATTGGAGCAATTGAACACTTTCTGGTTATCACATAATTTCCTAGATCAATATTATTAAACTTTCTTTCACTATAATCTCATTTTGCCAATCAATATTATTAAACTCTCTAGTTATCCTTAAAATTGTCTTCTCAAAAAAAAATTAAAAAAATAACAATAATAACATTAGAACGTCGTGCTTGGTGAGTCTATGTGCAAATCACCTTTTTCCCCACAATTGCTTTTGTGACTCCGTGGAAATTAAACCGAAACATTTTTTCAAGTCTCAACCGTCCAAATACAATTAACTAGTGACTTTATTTGACCTATTTATTATGATAAGTTACATAAACCATAAACTGTTAATAAATAGATTATATATTAATTAAATATCTTAGTTTCAGATCACGACATCACAACCAGTGTGGGCCAGCTCCCCTGTTTCTTCCGTTACAAAATACTAGATAATCCTTTAAAAAAAAGCAACCAAAACCCCAATTAGCTTCGTTAACAACCAAATTTAGGTCAAATCGAGGGCAAAGGCGAAGATGGCGATCACGGCGCGGGCGGTGGGATCCTGGATAGCACCGGCTGGGCGGCGGCGGCGGCGACGTGGTCGGTCGTGGCAGCGCGGTGATGGCGGTGTTGGCATGGGTGGATCAGCGCTGGGTATCACGTGATCGCGAAGCTAGCCCTAAATGTTGGGATGAATCAGGTCGTGTTCTGCGTTTTCCGAGATCTGCTGGCTCTCTCGATTCTCGCGCCCGCGGCTTTTTTCATCGATCGGTATTAATAATGTTTTTGCCGTGATTTTCTGCGGAAGCTTTTGAGCTGTTTGATTATTATTTAAAAGAATTAGAGTTTAAATTGTTGTTGGTTTGAATGTTGTTATGATTTGATGTTTGATAGAAAGATCCGGCCTCCGCTGAATCGGCGATTGCTTACGTCATTCTTCATTCTGGGATTAACTGGGTAAAATTATTTGTTTTTGTTTTTTTTAAAGTAAAAGTTTAGCACCCTATGTAAACCTAAGTGAGCCATATTTGCAAATTTACAGCTAAATATAGATATGTGCTAATTTGTCTTCCAACTCTACCACATCGAGTTAAAAATGGCCGCAATTGTGAGTTTGTTTTTCAATGATGGACGGGGAAATTTACAGCTAAATGAAAACGGAAAAATATCTAAATTTCAGTTAAATAACTTTTGAGTCATTTTAACTCGCTGTGGTAGGATTGGGGTGGTGAATATCAAAACATCTAACTTTGGAGGGTAAAATTGCAAATACAGCTAGTTTTGGGGATTATATGCAGGTAAAGAACTTAGAACCCTAGGATGCTAAAAGAACTGAAATTGTGTTGCATTGTAAATTGACCAGGATATTTGGCAACCAGCTTTTGTTTCTTATTGGTCTTAGCTACACAAACCCTACTTATGCTGCAGCTATTCAGCCCTCGATTCCAGTATTTACATTTATTTTGGCTGCGATTATGGGGTGAGATTCCTCCTCATAGATATCTATATTAATGCAGCTTCTAGTTGTTTTTTCCTTAACTAATTTGTAATTTACTGCTTATAGAACCGAGACTGTGAACTTGCTCACAAATGAAGGAAGAACGAAGGTTGGAGGGACTATCATCTGTGTCTTGGGTGCCATATTAATGGTTTTGTATAGGGGACCGGCTGTAATTGGAGAGATTGACTATGACTTAGCGGCTAACAGTGAAATAAGTGCTAGATCTCAGCCTGAACCAGCTGGATGGCTGGTTTCTGGTTTGATTGAGATGGGTCTGGAACATTGGCATATTGGTGTCTTATGCTTGATTGGGAACTGTTTGTGTATGGCTACTTATCTCGCCCTACAGGTATTATAACGTGAAAATTTCTTTTATAGCATTGTTGTCATTTGATGTTTTTGCTTAGTGCTTTGTTTCAATATCTTTGGCTGGTAAAGCTTATCTGTAGAATTGATGTCTGAAAGCATCCAGAGTAGAAATAATTAAGTGTCAGGAATATCCAACAAGCTTGACAGCAATATCTAGCGCAGAAGAGAAAAGAGGGCTCAAATGCAGTACAAGATACGTGAAGGAAAAAACCATTTAAAGAAAAAAAAAATAATAGTAGTTTGCAGAAGACTAATACTTAGCAAGTGGAAGAAAAGTAATAAATGCCAGCTTCACTTACATAGAACCTTGCACTTGGTGGTTTTCATTGCTCAAGCACATAAGACTGCAAACAGATCGAGCTGATCTGCATCTGACAATATTTAATAAGGCTATTCAGGGTGCTAATGAACATTCAGTTCATGTAGAAAAAGAGGACACCATTCTGATTATTATCTGGTCCAGGTTTTGTTTGGAAGTGTTTTTTAGTAGTAGAAAACTATAGGGGCTGTTTGGGAAATCTGCATCTTGGTGTTGAATTTTGCTGCTTGAGAATGCTGCATCTTGTTGTTGAATTTGGGATTTTGTTGGATAGTGAGCTTCTATCTTCATCTTTCCTCTCTTTAGGGATCTATAGTAAGTGTTAGCAACAATGAGATTAATAATTTGAGTCCTTGTTTCATCACCAACAACGGTAAATCCTTATAGATCTTCTTGATTGAGCCTACCGCCACCGTATTCCTTCCCTGCTCATCATCTAAGACCATTTAGAGAAGTTTCCCTTGCTGTTATTGGAACTTTCAGGGAATTGTTAAATCAAGTTTCTTATGAGAAAGTAAGTGGTCTAATCTTGCATCATGTTTGCCTGTCAATTTAACTTATTCACACTAAGCATGTTTTCTTTTATGTTTACTTTTGTATAGTACAAATCTTAGACTCTAGGGTGGCAATGTTGTTGAAAGCGAAAAGTGAAGCAGCGGTTATGACTTAGACTATAGGGCCTCTGATGGAGCTTCAGAGGCAAAATGTTTCCGAAGTTCTTTTTAATTGTATGGATAAATTTCACTAAACTTCTAATAAATTTAGGCATTTTACACTTGACCCAAAAAAAGTGAAACTGTTACTTAACCTGTTATAAGTTTGGAATTCCCCAAAAAAAAAAAGCCCCAAAGCATTTTGATTTTTTTGTGTTTACGATTGTGCTTATATTGAACACTTCTCCATATGATGCTTTAATGTTTTCAGGCCCCAGTCTTGGCAAAGTACCCCTCAAGCTTATCTTTGACTGCATATTCGTACTTCTTTGGGGCACTATTGATGGCAGTATCTGGTTTATTTGCAACTAGTGATTATGCAGATTGGACATTGACACGATCTGAAATGGCTGCTGTCTTGTATGCTGTAAGTTTTTTATATTAAGATCTTTTACTTTTTTTATCGTGGTTTCAAAAGCTCAGCCAAATTCAGTGTTCTTGGCTAACTTCCTTCCATCTCAAACTTTTCTTGAGTATTAGAATTTTTTTTTCATGAATCAATCCTGGACCTAGTTATATGCTATCACCGACTATTTTCTGCAAAGGAACAAATTATCAAATAGCGTGTAGAAAACATGCAGTAAATATGGGAACAATAATTGTTATGATTTAGCATCGTTGATGTGGTGGAAACACTATTCATCCTGGCAGTTACATCCCTTAGTTTCTGGAATTCGTTCTTGTGGAGTTGAGATTCCACACTTAAACCAAACATTAAGACAGTTATTATACCTTTTTGCGAACCATTGCAGTTTTTAGAATCCCCTTTCATTTAGGGGGATGAGCTAGAGATCAGCAATCTCTAGTTTTGAGTCGATCATAGCATTCTACTTGCTTTTAAGTCTGATGTTTTTGTTTCTCCAGTTAAGTTCAGATGCAAGGGCTTAATAAGTTCAATCAGTCTTTACTGACATGTTGGTCATATGACCATCAGACAGAGGCTCAGATTTACTTGGAAGCATGCATGTTGTAAAATTGGTATAAGCCAGGTCATTGACACTATACCTTATTGCCTGGAAACAAACCAAATCAAATAATAGAATATTCAGATTTGAAATTGGTCCATTTGGTAAATTTCAATCCGATTTGGATACTAAATATCATTCGAGTTTGATTCATTTATATTTAGATGGTATGTAATAATTCATAAATATTTCTTTAACAAATTCATGCATAATTGTTTGACTTATCCAATAATTATTTGTTACTAATTCAACAATTGTTTGGTAACAAACAATTCATCACAGTTGCGAACCAGAACGTACAAGTATAATATAGAAAAACCAGAATATAAAAAAAACGTCTTATATAATAAAAAGCTACAATTGGGAACGAAACATGGTCCCATACAACAGAGCAACAAAATATGTTTCGACACAGTATACAAGCTAAGAAATGACAATAAAAGTGTTCTCACTTCTCAGTGCAGCAGTCCCACTTGTTTTTAATTGTAAACAAAGAAAACGTAAGAAATGGTTGAGCGTCAAATTTTCCATACATGAGCATGATTATTCAAACATGAAAAAAAATATTTTCATATTTCTCAAAAACTATGATTGGTAACTGTATGTGTCATGTCTGCCTCAGAATTATAACAATCTTTTTGCCCATTGTTCCACATACAACTTCCTGTGCTGAGTACATGTTCCACACAGATCCTGAAGAATTAGAAATAAGCATAAAAAAAAGTTTAAAGCAATGTGTAATCTCCAAAATGAAGGGAGGCCAGCTTCTATGTCCTAAGCAGAGCAGTCAACAGAATGTAGAGAGACTGCTCAAAGTAAATGATACGCGATAAAGCAATGGTTTGAATGAAATAACAAGAGTCAACAACCAAAGTGCTACGATGATTGTCATAGTCTGATACTTGCGGAAAAAAGAAGGGGGAAAAAAAAAGAGTCAAGAACCAAAGAATATGCTTGAAGTAATTGATAAACTTCTATAATCATCATTATCCGATTCAAAATCAAGCTCAACTTTTTGACAGCTAATAAGAAAACAAACATTAATAAGGGAGCATCGACAAAATGATGAGAGAATGAAGCATGGGTAAGCTTCTATATGCATGGAACAATATTGTTGTCCATTATGGGGTTGAGAATGTGAAGCACAACATTTCACAGAATGATCTTGCCACCGAAAACCGATTTCCTATTTCTAGATAGGATGTTCTTCAAAATTCTCAAACAAACATCGTACGCTGCATGGGGATAGTAACTTTTATTATCTATGTCCTATTCTTTCTAGCACTTGCGCATAGAATATGCTATGTTAACACCACGTCGAGGAGGCAAATGCATGGAACTTAGAATCATTTTTTGTATGTACCAATTTTTACTAACGAAGTGACTAGTAAGTATCATATGTCCAAGAATTGAATTTGGGATTTGCAAAGACCAATTCGTTATCAAATACCGATAAAATACTGGTTTTGTTAACTAATTTCAGGATAAGTAATTACAAGCTTCCTGGCCCACAATCATAACCCGCTTGATTGTCTTCTCTTCTCGATTGATGGGTTCTATTGAATCCTAATCCAATAGTCAAATAACAACAATTCTATTAGATCCTAAACTTATGAACCAGTAACTTGAATTCTCAAACTTAAAAAACATATCCTTAATTTTAATAGCTTTACATTAGCAAATCCAAATGTTCCATAATTCTGTTTAATTATCAAATAACTAACTATTACTAATCAGGAAAAGTAAGGAAATCACACGGAGCGTTTTAGCTAACGTAGTACACTTGTAGAATGAACTCTGAAGAAAACTTGCATGATGCGCATAATTCTTTTATAGATCCTGGATTATCTAGTGGAGCACCTGTACTTCAGAAAATGTAGAATGAACAGAACTTTCATGATGCTCCTAAAATTTTATACATATTGGATTATGTAGTGGAGCATCTCTACTTCAGAACGCTTACCGTGGATTGCTTGATTTTGCAGGGGATTATTGCATCTGCTCTTAACTATTGGCTATTGACATGGTCAAATAAGATTCTGGGGCCTGCACTGGTGGCTCTATACATGCCAATGCAGCCTGTAGCATCTGCTTTATTGTCAAGACTTTTCCTTGGAAGTACCATTTATCTTGGAAGGTTTGACATAGTTCCTGATATCTTTATTTTCCTTTCTCTTTGCTTTATTTTTATGAATTTCTGGATTGTTAGTAGCGTTTCAATCTGAAGGAATAGTTCTTACCCTCGGCAGTAATACATGCATAATATACATGTTTGGGTAGACAACTAGGGGATGGAGAGGGAGGAGTGTGATTGATCTAATTTGTGTTTGTTTTAAGTTGAAAATAGGAAGAGAAGGAACCAATTCACTTAAAATCCAACTGCTCCTCTCCCAATCCGTCCACTTTAGGAGGGTTAATAAAGTGAAGAAATTTGCTTCTTTTTAACCCTCCTAATCCTTCCACACTCTTGCTAAAAAATCTAAACAAACACAAATTTAGGATGGTTACCCTTGTAACCTTTCCAACCCCTCCCCTCCCCTGTTAAAGTAAGCTATCCAAACTCACTCTTAAGGTTAATCTTGCGTGCTTCCAGTATATGATGCTATTATAATCTCACACTACTGATCACGTTTAGCTTGAGCCATAGCACAAAGGAACTTCCATTATTTAGTTGACCACAAGCTAATGAGGGGTAGGAGGCTTCAGAGGATGTGAAATTTGATCCTTAGACACTTGAAATGTTTTGTCAAACAAGTACAGTGGTTTTGCAATTAAATTCCGGGGTTATGCAATTTATAAAACAAAAACCGTCACCAGATGCCTTTGCCTATATTATTTTAAAATGCATAGACCAAATCAAAATGTTCATTATTTTTAGTTGCTAATCAAGGGTAATAAAAGGAACAGTTGGCAGTTGCAAAACTTAGACCTGTAGTTTAGCAGTAACGTGTAGAACAACAAGGCAAGAAAGTTTAGATCCCTAACCTTTGGGGTTGGATGCATTATTTTTCTCCATGTAGCTCTACTTTGTTAAAAACCATCTCTTGCTGTACTGGCAAATCCCAGTCACAGAACATGATAACTTTTTGGAAGACTTGAATAGTTACCAACTCAGAGCTCAGGCAAATCAAATTGAATTCCATTTGCTGCTTCGTGAATTAAGCAGCTGACCATAAATCATTAGATTCGCATTTTATTTGTGTACGTTGCAAATTATCTTATAATGTTTTGGATTTCAGCCAAAAATAAAGCTGCAGGACATTAAGTGCATTCATCGAGGCTGGAACCCTTGTCAAAGAGAAAGTTACAGAGCTTCTACCACTTTAAGTCTTTTAGCTGCTTGTGTATCCCAATAGAAGTAGACAACATACATCTGATAACAATTTCTATATGCGTTCTATTTAAGCTTGAGGTATTGCAGCAATATTTTCTGAATTTACTGGGTCTTTCTGAAATTCGCAGAACATTTTATTCTTACTGAATTATCCTTGAGCATGCTACTTTTGACTAAGTTGATAATTAGCATATTGTATTTTACTAGCTTTGCCTATATTCATTTGTCTAACTCTATCCCTGTTTAAGCTTGGAAATCTGGTGTATGGCCTTTAAGATGCTTCTTATTCATTTTGCAGTTTGGTTCACTAATGTATGTATAACGTTCTTGCATTACTTACATTTTTTCACATAATTAAGTTTGAACTCCAACTATGCTGTTGTAGGATATCTTTGGGCAGGTTGTAATATGAGATAAAACTTCATGTTTTTATCTAATATTAATTTTTCCTTATACGGTTAACTGACATTAGCTTGTGCTGGCAGCATTCTTGGAGGGCTCTTAATCATCTCTGGCCTATACCTGGTTACATGGGCTCGCTTTAAAGAGAGACAGGCAGCCACAGGGATTGCTTATATGAAGGGCAGTTCAGAACTTCCTCGCGATGATATATCACCCTCGAAGAGAGTTGGCATTTTCTCTGGCCCATCCTTGGCATTTCCTAGACCTTGGGTTGAGTCGCATGAATCATGAAAATCTTGAACTTCTACTTTGTACTACATTTTTTTCTTTCCTTTTTTTTCTTTCCTTTTTTCTTTCCTTTTTTAAAGGATATAGAGATTGGACACATCACACTAGCAATTAGTACCCTTTCCCGGTGATTGATCTATCCCTCCTTTCAAAAGAAAAATAGATTAGGGTCATTACTCATGGACCATTTGCCTTTTTATCACTCATTAAACTTCTCAAACTTCTATCTACACCTCTATTCTTTACGCGGAACTGTATGTTACTAGCTTGGCAGTTGTATTTCCTGAAGACTGTTAGCAATCAAACAATAGTGTTTTATGTCTTTAACTTGATGAGGTCAAGGAATCCACAGCATAATAAAGGCGGTAAAACCTCAAGTTTCCTCCCTCTGTGGAAACATGGTCACCATAGGTTCAGTAAGCAAAGGCAAAGAAGGTGGACAGAAGCCATAGCAAACAGAAGAGGTGCTTTTCCTCGTACTCACGTCAAGCTTGTTGTACTCTGTGTTTAGTTCTTGTGCAATAAAGTTCTATGTTTGTCGAGAAACTCATGCTAAGTGATTTTGATGAATGTTGCAGGTAATAGTCCCCAGTGCTGCTGTACAAGCCTATCAGGGGACCGAGAGGGTTAGCGTTGACCGATAATCTTGGTATTGTTGCTGGATTCATGTATCAGTGGGGGATAATCATAGTACTCGGTGTGATATCCTACTTACATGTTACATACTACTAGTATATGTACAGCTTGTGGTTTCTCATTATTTGGCCATATCAGTAATGTTTGGGTGTTTTTGTGAATTGCCCCCTTGAAAGTATGAGAAACCAGCAAATGATAGCTGAATTACTTGATTTTCTTAAATGTCTCCCTTTTTATTAGTTAGTGCATTTTATGGTCTCTATTAACTGCGTGCAGTACATGATGCATCTCCGGGTTAACAGAGATGATGCAGTGATTAGTGCACTAATGAGAAAAAGCAAGAGTGATTATAAGCGGAAAATAATTTAGGTTTATAGATGTCAATTATGAAATGATTATTTCTCATCATAAAGGATCAATTCATGATCGCATGTGACGCCTAAGGGATAGAAAGTAAAGCGTGATGCTTGTATCATTTGCTGGGGTGTTAAGCTAAATTGGGTTATTTTGACCCTTAAATATTTGATATTTTGAAATAAGTACGTCTAATTACGTTGCCATTAGGTCTTCCAATTTGATTGAAGGGATAAATTTGAAACAAATTTCTAAGAATTGGGTGACTTAACAGCAGATGTGTGTTTAATTCTGGTGCATAACTAGCTACCATTTTCATGGATTTTTTTGCATAATACCTCTCAGATCTTTCATATTTGCATACTAATCAGCCAAATCTTCATATTTGCTCATGCCTTCAATTCTGTCGTATTGAGCTTTTCTATCCCTCATGCTTAAGCGTTTTTTATTTTAAACGAGAAAATATTGCAATCTTATTTGAAATTATTAAAATACTAAGATTTAAGAGGTAAAAAAAACCAATGTGATAGAATCGGATGGTAATTTTACAAATACTAAGATTTAAGAGGTAAATCTATAAATATGGAAGATTTGAGGAGTATATTTATGCAAAAACCCCTTTTCTCACTGGGTGGCCTTTTCTAAACACGTGGCTCGTGGCCTTTATATTCTCCTTTCTTTCATCTTAGGGCCTGTTCGTTTGCCTAAAAAAAAGAGGGAAATCAAAGAAATGGAAAACTATTAAAATGAAGAATTGTTTTTGGAGTGTTTGGTTGGCTAAAAAAGAAGGAAATCAAAGAAATGAAATTGAAATGATGTTAGTTGTCACCTTATTATTGGATGATGTTTGTGATTTTTTAAGAAAACTAGTTTTGGAGTGTTCGGTTGACGAAAAAAAATAAGGAAATGAATTATAAGAAACCTATTTCCTGTAGTTTCTTGTTTTCTTTTGTTCGGTTCATTCTTAAAAATAAGAAATGAAATGAGATGAGATGAGTTGTCATTGTATTATTGGGTGATGTGAAGAAAGATTAAGAAAAGTGTTTTCATAACTTTTTGGGATGAAAATGAAGAAATGAAATGTTAATGAGATGAGGTGAATTGTTATAATATTTTATTGGATGATGTGAGTGATTTGAAATGATGAGAAGAGATGAGTTGAGTGATGTTTGGATGAAAATAATATTTTATTAGATGTGATGGATGAGTTGTTAGATAAAAATAATATTTTATTAGATGTGATGGATGAGTGGTTAGATGAAAATTATATTTTATTAGATGATGTGGATGAGTTGTTGGATAAAAAAAAATATTTTATTGGATGTTGTGGGTGAGTTTTAGGGATGGAAATGGAGGAAATGGTGAGTTTTGAGATTTTCACCATTTCCATTTCCATTTCTTGGTTTTTAGAAAACAAACGAACAGGCCCTTATCCGTTTGCTTATCTTAGCTTTACTGTTCTTTAGCTCTTATCCTCTCCAGTTTCCAACTTCGATCGAGGGGCCCTCGCTGGTAAATTTTTTTTTGGAGAATTTATTTAGCGATTTAACATCCCCATCTTAGTTAAGGACTTGATTCTAGAACCCAACCTTTTGTTTCCATGATACTTAGAAAAACTTTTTTTTACCATTAAAATCTGTGTACGCTGATTCCTGATTTAGGGAAGTTTGGTGGGTTATAACTGGAGATTAATTATGGAAGTTGTTCATAAATTTTTTTACGGGGCTGTTTGGTTCGCTATTATAAGGGGTGAAAAACTCAGAAAACCCCTCCACGTCAGATTTTTAGCCTTTGGTTCGCTATTATAAGGGGTGAAAAACTCAGAAAACCCCTCCACGTCAGATTTTTAGCCCTCCACATCAGCTTTTTTGTTTCCGTCCATTTCAGAAAACCCCTCCACGTCAGATTTTTAGCCCTCCACATCAGCTTTTTTGTTTCCGTCCATTTCTTTGTGTCGCTTTGGTTCGCTCAAATGGAAGAGGGAAAACTCTGCTGAAATCGCTGCCAACTAAGATTTTTTTCCCTCTCCGGTTTTCTTCCCCAACCAAGTAAAATTGATGAAAACTCTGCCACGTCAGATTTTTTTCCTTCTCTGCTTTGTTTACAAAAGTTTTTCTTTTTTTTTCTATACGAACCAAACAAAAAAAAATAAATACATTGGTTTCTCACCATTTTTTATGTGCGAACCAAAGCAAAACAATCTATTTCTTGAAAAAGTTTAAAAAACTCAAAACTTGTGTTTCTTTACATGGAATTGCATTTCTCTGTATCAAGGAAACGAACCAAACAACCCCTACACGGAAAAAAAACTTAAGATGTGAAAATGGAAACACAAGTAATACACTGTGTTAAACAGAGTGAAATAATAGAGAATCCATCCAATTAATTTTTATGCACAATTCTAACTAACTATTTGTTGCGGACAGACCTCCTGCTTGATTTTTTTAACTCTTAAATCCTTAAAAAGTTTTGAGGAGGCTGATATATATATATGTATATATATTGGTGAAGATAGACCTCTAATTGCTTTTTCTTTCTTTCTTTTTTTCATTTTTAAAAGAGTTGAAAAAGTTCAATAAGCAGGTATATTCGCACTTGTGCCAAACTGCGAATACTACAAGGGTCTATTCTCAATAAATAGAACTATATGGAGTCTATTTGTAATTAGGTAATACTACGAGGGTCTATTTGCAATTAACCCTTAATATAATGTAACTACTAATCTTCATGCATAAATTTATAGGGAAAAAAAATAAGAATAAAACTCTAGTGGCCTAAGGGCTTTCGCCCACCAACTTTCTCTATCACTTGATTTTGCTTTGAGATTCATGTTGGTGCGCAATGCAAAGTAAGGCATCAATCTCAAAGCAAATCCAACTGATAAAATAAAAAATTCGGTCTACTTATGTTACGCTGCCCTTCTGTCAGTAAAAGAATTTTTTTTTTCAAAATCGTCTTAACGGAATTTTTTTTTTAAGAAATCGACCACATTCACTTTTAATTATAGAAATCGACCCACTTTGAGTTAATTACGGTACTAATTACTCGGGTTGCCAACCCGACTAATTTGTAGCCTAATTAGCAGTCGCAAACCTTTCCCGCTTCTTAACCCTGCTTGTAATTAGGCTACTAATTAGTCGGGGTTGGCAATCCCGACTAATTAGCTAGTTCCGTAATTAACTCAAAGTGGGTCAATTTCTATAATTAAAAGTGAATGGGTCTATTTCTTTTAAAAAAATTCTGTTGAGGTGATTTTCAAAATTTCTTCGTCAGTAAAATTTGACTACTTTAGAAGTTCCAATCTTCTGCATTTATCTTTTTATCAGGAACTCTCATGCTGGTTTTGTTGCAGATAAGTTCGGTCTATATCATTTCCATCACTGCCCGTATCTTATCGTATTTATACCTCATAATGTTCTCTTTCAATTACTTCAAAGCACATGCAACCTCATTATCTTTCCATCCTCCCAATCCCTGTTTCTGGAAGTGAATCGTACTCCCACGTTTGAGAACCATATATGGCATTTCATGTTTGCCACATTTCCTGCTTAAGAGCGAAACCGATCGATAAGTGTCGCAACCACCCGGCTTCACTCCGCGCAGCTTCCTCGACCATCAACGCCGACTTCAAATCTCGCAAACCTGGTTTCAGTATATCTAGTTATTCCCAGAGGAAGGCGAGTAGCCCCTCTCCCTTAAAATGCTCGTCTTCAGACCGGAGCCGAATTGACTTGCCAGGTTCGGACAGCCTAGTAGAACTCCCCCTCCTCCCACATCCTTTAGTCCTATTCCCCGGTGTAACTCTTCCCTTGCAAGTATTCGAGTTTAGGTACCGAATAATGATGCATACGATCCTCCAAAGTGACCTAAGATTCGGAGTCATATATTCGGACAAACTCAACGGGGCAGCTGGTGTTGGATGTGCAGCAGAGATAGTAAAGCACGAAAGGCTTGTGGACGATCGGTTCTTCATCTTCTGCAAAGGGCAAGAGAGGTTTCGAGTTATCAGTCTCGTTCAGACGAAACCTTATACTGTAGCAAAGGTTCGGTTTCTCGAAGATAGGCCTTCTTCGAGTGAGCAGCAAGATCTTGAGTCGATCGCTCTTGAAGTTGAGATTTGCATGAAGGATGTGATCAGGTTGTCCAATAAGCTCAATGGCACATTTGAGGAAAAATATGAGGATATTCGAAGGAATCTATTTCCGACGCCATTTTCGTTTTTTGTTGGGAGTACTTTTGAGGGTGCCCCTAGAGAGCAGCAGGCCTTGCTGGAATTGGAGGATACAGGTCTGAGGCTGAAGAGGGAGAGAGAAACTTTGAGGAACACACTCAATTATTTGGTTGCTGCGTCTGCAGTTAGAGATGCCTTTCAGTATTCTTCATCCAATGAAAACTAGCAGTCGGTTATTCTTGTAAATAAGCAAATAATATAGCAGCAGCCTCTGCCTATATATTGAGCCTTTGGTTTTGCAAAGTTTTTTGAAATCTGTACAGGTTAATATTTCAGGAAGAGCTTTGCTACGGGAATGATGGCTAACTCATTATCCAATAGGAGGTGGACATCTCACTTGTCCCCCCTATTGGTCACATATTCTGGGTCCTTAAGGAATTTTTCTTTCATGAAAGCAGTGTGCCAAAATTTGACCTCTACCGCTCACACATTGTTTCCATTTATATCCTTGCTTATCCTTTGTTATTCCAATTTTACGCGCTACTATTAATTGGGGTTCGAGGGGTATATTTGGGATATGGGCGCTGAAATTTCGTTACTTCTTGTTTTTTTTCCCCTGCTTAACGCTCTTCTGAGAATTGGTCCAGAGATCAGAGAGGAGAAGCAGCAATGTATTTTTGAGTTTTGTTGCCACCGTCAGAGACCAACTTCCTTCAAAATTTTATATTTTCCGTCTTCAGTTAATGTGATTTTACAGTTAATTCTCTCTTCTTTTGATGATGAAAGTAAATTCTCCTCTTCCCTGCCAAATTGATAATATCAATATATCAAATTTATTTGTACTCCTTGTTGACTGATTTGTGCGGTTTTGTGTTAAAAATTCAATCTTTTCTGATGTTTTTTTCTTCTTGTATTGTATCTCACTTTTTTTTTTGTTCTAAATATCGCCGAGACTTTCTTCAGGTCCAAGCATTCAGTTTTTTAATGATCGATAGATTGTTCCCGTGGTCTATTTTCTTCACATGTAAATTTTTCTACTGATATTACTTTGGTTTGTGCGGTGAGTTTGAGAAATTTAACCCTTGAACGAGTCTTCATTTTTATACAATATTGATTAAAGATCTTTAGCACCTGTGTTCAGTGTATTAATACGGAGATTTTTTTTTTAAAAAAAGACCTTTTTTAAAAAAAATGGTAAAAACTAATATTTTAGTAAATAATTAGCAAAATCGATCTCTTTTTTGACTAGCTCACCAAGACTGGTAAAAAAATGGATTTTGCATAATTTAGTGTTGAAGAATAGATGGGACTACTAGTCACGTCGCTAATCACCCAAAATGCACACTGTATTGGTAGCTCGTGTGTGTTTTCTAATGCAGTATCCGGTAATCTCACCGGCCTGCGATAGGACAAATTTTTAAATTCGACCCATTTAGATACTTAATTGTCGAAAACGATACATTTCAAATTTAATTGTCAAAATCGATCCAGTGACAATTAAATTAGAAATGGGTAGTTGTGGATTTTGGCAATTAAATTGGAAATGGAAAGTTTTTGTCAATTGAGTTTCTAAACGGGGGGAATTTGAAATTTTGTCCCCTGCGATAAGTAAGGCCCCTCCCCCTTCCTCTTTCCTTCGCCCTTCTTTCTATTTTCATCCCGATTTCTGTCTCGTGAAGTTCCCGAATTCTCTCAAGGTTAGTTTTTTTTATCCCCTTTTCTTTAAATTTTTGTCTAGGTTTTGTTTAGATTATATGGCGCTATTTGCCTCGTTAATTTATTTTGTAGATCGATTTCTTTCTAGAAATCTTTTTTGTGATCATACTGAAGCTGTTGTGGAGGGACTTTTGATCCGTTCTGATAACCTTATAGTTGATCCTATTCTACTAATCGACTGATTTTAGGATCGATTTCTTCAGGAAATCTCTTTGTTTTCCTTTTTTTTTGCTAGTGATTCTTGATTAGGGTTTGTTGTTTGTTTTCCTCTCGGTTTGTTTAGATCTGTACTTCCAAAAGTTCTTTTTTTTTCCGCTTTATGTCCTCCTTTAAACATGAATTGAAGATTTATTTGCGGATTCTGATTTTTTTTTTCCGTGTGTTCGACTTTTCCGTGTATTATTTGATACTGCACAGACTAAAAGAGGTCGATTTTGCTAATTATTTAGTAAAAAGGTCGTTTTGCTAATTAATTTTTAAAATTGGTCTTTAAAAAAAAATCTCCTATTTATATATGAGAATTTGTGGTACTTTTTTAGGAAAATCCTTACAGATCTCCCTCTCATCCAATAATTGTATGTAATCCATGTCATATTTAGTTCGTTAAAAGCCATATATTTTATCAAGGATATTTCAAGTGTATTGCGGTGTCTATATAGTTTGATAGTCTTGTAGGTTGATGAATATTATTTTAAGCCTTATCTTTAAATGTAGGTCAATATTTCTTTATTCGGTCAGTTATTATGTCACTCTCGAACAAAGTCGGGGAGGAGAGACACTTGTTTGATGAAGCAAGCAATCCAATTGTGTAGCACCTTAAGATAAATGTGTCAATTTTCAGTTGCTCAGCTGCATTATGTAGTATATTGGTTACAGTCTTTACTCTAATTTGGGTACTAATAACTTTTTTGATTGTTTAATTCATGTCCCGTGAATATATATATGGAATACATATATATAATATGTTGAAATATGTTGTTTGGTTGTTGTACGGAATGTATATAGGTATTATTTGAACTTTATTTCCGTCATATCAAACTACATGGATTGAAATGTGGAGTGTATTCGATATTTTGAGTATCCATTTACTACCCTAATCCGACAAATACTTTATAGTAAGGATCGTCAAGATATTCATAAGTACATTTGGGTACAAAATTGTCATATACAAATACAAGTCTTACAATGGGATATGTATTTCTGATGGTGAAGATTATCAAAAACCATCTTGATTTCCTTGTTATTGCTTAGTGGATGCATCATGATTGTTTGACTTTGTATCACAAGGTCGTTCTAGAATATTATTTTACCAGTATAAAGCAGACAATTTAAATTTAATTCAGAAGTTTTTAAAATCTTTTGATTGGTTTGTTTAATGCTCTTGGATGATTGCTTTTATTTACTGATAATGAGGTTATATGCTACTATTTTCTTGATGAAAGATACAAATACATGCCTTCACATGAGGGAGGACTTCATATTATAGATATAGAGAAGCACTTGGATGATTGCTTTTGTTTACTGATGAAAACAACATCGGCAATACTGCAGGCATTCTGTCTCCAACATAGATCAAATGCCTTCATTTACCTTACGGAATAGGTTTTTGTTCAACTTTTTAACTCGATTCTTTCGGCTTTGACAAACAAGGTGGTACTGCTATAAGCCAAAGTTGTTTTAAAATACTGCTATAAGCCAAAGTTGTTTTAAAACACGCATGTATGTATACGTGTTTATTATCGCATTTTGTAATCACTATGCTTCCTAATTTCAGCTTTGTTTGGCAAGACCGTTGAATATTGCTATTTTCATGCGTAAGATCAAATTTTCTTCTAACCCTTATGGTTATTGAGATTAAATATTTTAAAGAAATTTCTTTCCCAATTGTTTAAATACAGTCTGAATTGTTATCTTTCTCCCGCATCACGAGCATCATAAGAGAGAAACCAAGTTGTAAATAAGATGGATATGTACTAAATCATGAGGCACAGGATACAAGATAACACTCAATAAAATTTTGCAACTTCTACATTAGCACATATATTCAGAATCTAATTAATTAATCTTTCGCTTAATGATCCTTTGACCACAATTATTTGTTGCTTTTATATCTTCAAATTACTCTTTTCATGCTTGAAGCATTAATGCTTGCTCACTTTTTTGTTTTCCTTGCTAGGAAACCTAATTGCCTCGAGAGTCGGTATGGCTGTTGAGGGCAATCAAGATTTCTTATAGTAAGCCGTGACCATGTACAGTAAGAAACAAGAGGAGCAAAAAAGATTGCTAGAGTAAGTCCGCAAGAAGATTGCACGCTACCTATGCCACCTCTTGTTGCAGTACTCTTCCAAGTTCTTGTTTACATTTTCGCTATAGTTGGGTGTTCGCGTGAACCACACTCACTTGGTGAGGCGATTGAAGAGGGAAGCCACTTCATCATCGCTTCCTATTGAGCAAGAGATTACCCCTTTCTTCCTGAGCAGTGCCACGTCTTTGTCTGTATCGATGATATTATCCATAAAGAAGGCAAAGTTAGTTATTGCGATGCTTGTACCTTGGTGTAAGGCACGATTGGGATCACGACCCTAGATGTTGCCCCTGCAAATAAAGGACTGATCATCATCAATAGGTTGAGGATACTGCTGCGTTCATAAATTATTTTGGCGAAGGCCCAGCAGCAAGATACGAAACCATTATTGGAATGTGCCACTAGTTGCTTGACATTCAAAAGAAGATTTCCACCTCTTCTGGAGACTACTACCACGATGACAACTGGAGCATTCGCCGCGCCATAGAGCTCTTCCAAGCAGGGGTGAGCTTTGAGAAAAGCTAATCCAGTTGCTACAATGACATTAACTTCACAAATGGAGTATTCAAGCTCCCTCATCTACACTGCACCAATAACACCGAGGCAGAAATCCTCAATTACATTGCCTACGAACTCTTACACGAAGGTACAGGCATTGAGTAACTAACTTTGTCTTTTTTATAGATAATATCATCGATACAGACAAAGACGTGGTATTGCTCAGGAAGAAAGAGATAATCTCTTGCTCAACAGGAAGTTGTGGCGAAGTAGCTTCCCTCAATCGCCTCACCATGGGAGTGTGGTTCACGCAAACGCCTAGTAGCAGCGAAAATATAAACAAGAACTTGGAAGAGTATTGCAACAAGAGGTGGCATAGGTGGCATGCAATCTTCTTGCAGATTTATTTTAGCAATCATTGGGTTTTTATCTCAATTTTTGGTGCCTTGCTCCTCTTGTTTGTTGGACATGTTAGTTATTTGAGATAATGCCTCTTGTTTGTTGGACATGTTAGTTATTTGAGATAACGTGTTAAATTCTCTGAGAACCATTTGATTTTCTGTGAAAGCTTTATTCTGAATTTGTCTCACATGCTATTTGCAAATTAATCTCATTAATCAGGAAAAAGAAACACAGAAGCAATTTGGTATTGAGATATATATCATTTACAAAGATTAATGATATAAATGAGAAATTGAGTAATCTAAAGTAACACAATTAACAGCATAGGGAATGAACCTTTTGCTCATAGAATCAACTTTTATCCACGACAATAAGCCTTTGCTCTTTGATGGCTCAGCAGTATTGGTTCCTATACATGGACTATGGGAAGCTTCCTAGTGAAGCAGTGCATCGTATTCCTTGCGCTCTTTAGAGGTAAAATAAGTACATCCAAATTCGAAAGGAAAGAATCAATACAAAACTTGCTATATTTTCCTGCGAGATGCTTTACTAGCATGAATATGAACTTGTTATTTCGTAAGGAATAAATACAATTGCTTAATTTTTAAATCAGAAAGCGAAAAAGGACCATAGATGGGAATCATCAATGGATCATCGACTTGCGATTGTGATTCTAAGCAACATTAAATAGTCTTTGAAGAGAAGCCTATAAATGCTTAGGGTTAGAAACATGCACAAGTCTTGGCGCAGCCTGCGATCTATAGTGGCAAAATTACAAAGCATATTCCTCATATAATTTTGAAGCAAAATCCAACAAGAGAAGAAGGGAAAAGGAACAAGTAATATAGCAAAACAAAATTTCAAACTAAGGCCAAATTACACGTGGTGTATTCATCTCTTCTTTTATCATTTGAGTTCAATTGTTTTACAACAGTGACTAGTTTTAAACAAAAGCAAGAAAGAAAGTATAAAAAGGGGGAACAGGCGACATAGCGAACGGAAGTTTCAAACTAACGGTAAATTTACAAATAAGTATATACATAGAGTTTTCATTTTATCAATTGAATGCGTTTGTTTACACAAATGAAAAATAAACGTATTTGTCAAGGAGAGTAACAGATTATACACTGACCCAAAAAAAAAAAAAAGAAGAAGAAGAAGAATATTTATACATCGTGCTCTCCGAAACAATCTGTAATGAGTATCGAATTTGACGTGTAATGATTTTCTTTGTAATTGAACAGAAATACGCGAACCTTCCCAGGAGATCAATAACCAGAGAAACTTCAGAGGTCTTTAGCATCATCAACCTATGGAAGGCAGCATAGGATCCGTGCTTAGTCCTGATCCTCCGTAAGATCCAGGCTCGGCATGCTTCACCCTCCCAACGTGCCGAATGTGACGAAGGAGCCTCGCCAAGAAGGTATTGTGGCATATGGTAGAGCTGTCGCATACTACTGCAACGTGCTTTCGCGCTCTAGTTATGGCCACATTCATTCTTCTGCTGTCACCCAAGAATCCCACTGCTCCCAGCGTGTTTGAACGAACCTAAAAGAAAAATAGAAAACCTTAAAAACTTTGTAAGCCAATGCATGGGTATAATATCGTTGTATAACCTATCGATTCAAAGTCCATGGGGCCTGCTATGGGATAATGATGATATCGAAACAGATAAAGGATTACAAACAGTTTTATCATAATGACATTGGTTTTTTAGAAAATTCTCGACACCTGATCTTGTTTGTGAAGTTCTTAATGCAAAAGATTATCCATTTACAGCAGTATGAAGATAAGTGAGGCCGTGAAAGCGTTATTTTTCTAAACAAAATTTGAAGGTGGCAATACTAATAACTGGCTCTCACAGAGGGGGTTTAATTCACTTCTAAAAACACAATGGTAAATATCAATCTAGATCTAATATCTCCGAACAGTTTTAATGAAAATTTATGAAATACAGAGCCTCCCACCAGGCTCAAATAAGAGCGAAATTCTCCAATATATTGAAATTTAAAAACGGAGGTTAGGGAAGAAAAAAATTTTGAAAAAATAAAGCTTGGCAAAAGAAAAATTACAAGTCTAATAATTCATTAACAAGATGATCGACTGGGGGCATTAATATGACAAGTAGACATAAATGACTGCAATGGAGTATCCAGCTAAACAATTTTCCTGCATCATTTTCAGCCACTTAAAACAGCTGAATAAGAAACTTCTCAATATTATTCATGTTCTGTTTCATAGACTACAACGAAGTATTGAAGTTTGTTTATTCAAGGCAATCACGCGAATGCTTACTAGGTACCTAGATTAAAGGCATCAAGGCACAATCCATTAGAAATAAATCAAGTTGAATGTTACTCCATTGAGAAAAAATTCCCTTCATTATTCATTAAATAACTCTCAGCCTCAAAGAAAAAGCACGCTTAACACCAAAGAAAAAGCACCGTCTTTAAGCTAGAAAGATTTTAAAATATTTGTTACGCAGAAACTAAAATTTTAGAAACTTCTATATTGTTTAAGAAAATGTACCATTGATATAATTACAGCATCAGCCTCCCGCCCTTGGAAACTGTCTATGGTAGCCACTTCAACTCCCGAAGCTTCTGGAAAACCATCTAACCTCTCCCTCAAGAGCTGCACTTGAGCAATATAGGGAGATTGGACAGCAATTGCATTTGGAGAAATCCCTGAAGGATAGCAAACAAGTATTAGGATAAAAGGGCACCAACTACACAATCATGTATTTGTTCTACCATCAAACTGAAGCTGTCTCTGGAATATCTCTTAAGATCATGTAGACCTTTTCCTATCGAACTAGGTGCATTTTAGGGAGATTTACTGTGATACCCCTACAAAAGATAGTCCCACATCAGGAAATTGATAGAGTTTGAGAATTTAAATGATGGGTCTTGAGAGTCCAGTGCAACATTGGCTTTTGGGTAGCCAATATTGGCAATGGATTGAGCCAAACCACATGTTGCACTCAGTGGGTCCCAAGGGTTACATTGCGCTGACGAGCTTGTAGGCCCGGGGATGTGAAATTTACTCTTTCAAGAACACAAAGCTGGATACGTAGGACATTGACAACTTGAAGGACTAGTAAAAAAAGACTTCTATTGTTACAATTACTGTATGACAGTATGAATCTAGTTTTGCAGTATCCAGCAGATGCACCAGATTACCAAATGTTTTTGGAATGGTATATGGTGCGAAAACACACTCATTTTCTATATAAGTCTTAAAGTTTGCATAGGTGCAACTATACACTATATTTTGTAGTCAAAAGTCATTTAACTACAAATAAACCAACCCAAGGTCTGATTGGCTATCACTCACGGACAAAAGCATGGAATATAGATAGCTTCTAAAGTTGGAGTCAAATGAATTTAAGAAAACCCAGGTTGGATTAAATTTAGCTCCAAATGTGGAAGGAAAAAACACAAAAGAGTAGAGTTTGAGATAACTCCACTTTCTATCCAAACAAAATAAAAATATTCAAATTATGATTTAGGAAAGCAATGTTAAAGATTTACAAACTAGAGTTTGCAAATCTTTAATTATGACTTCAAATAAACAAGAAGTAAGAAAACTTCAAAGACAAATGTCCTTAGTACACTAGTAGCTAACGCAATCACTGGCATGAGATGATCAGAAGCAACATAAAGTGAGTAGATGGAAGCTCACATGTCATAAAGGTTTGACTTATTTCCTTATTTAGGTTAGGCTGGAATGGAGTTTATATCTAGCAGTTAGATTATAGTTAAAAGCATTTGATTCATGACAAAGACGTTAACAAACTCTTTTGGTTGCTGAATTGTAGGCAAGAAAGCATAAATCACAGGGAATACATAAACATAAGGGAAACTGATATATCTGTAGGAGGACGAAATATGTACCAGAATATATGATATTAAATACATGCTGCACAACAATATCAGCTTCACCCTCATTATAGAAGGAGCCTGTGCCTGCTGGATCGAGATGCTCTTCACATCCAACATATAAGCTTCCATACGGCATTCGTGTATCAAGCAAGAGCAATGGGCAAAGAGTAACCCATGTAGCCTAAATGAAATCAAGGCTATTGTTAAATACAGTTAGTAGTCCAAATAAAAGAAATATAACTGATCACAGATCAATCATAATTTAAAGTTGCAATTTCAAACCAAAGATGCACCATGTTCCAAATTCACCAATGCACTTATGGATGCTGAAGAAGCATAACTTATCAACCGTACGCTATGCCCATGATACATATACTTAAGGATGCTTCCTTCTATTGTCTCTTTCTATTGCTGATACAGATACACCAATATGAAATATTACTTGGAAGCAAGCCAAATAATAGAAGCCCCTGAGAAGGCGAGGCCCTTTTTTTTGGTGGGAATATGGGGATTTTGTGTCTTTGACCCATAAAGTGTCTTATCAACCACTCCAAATTACTTTACCTTCTGTCAGGTTCTTTTAAACAAAAGGGAAAAATTGTAAAATAGACCGTTTTTACTAATTATTTAGCAAAATAGACCGTTTTGCTAAATAATTAGCAAAATAGACCTCTTTTTGGCCAACAGGCCAAAAAGAGGTCTATTTTGCAAAACAGCTCAGAAAACATACGGGACTAGTAGTCCCGTATGTTTTAATCACGGATTAGTGAAATTTTCTACTCAGAAAACATACGGGACTACTAGTCCCGTATGTTTTCTGAGTCACTAATCCGTGATTAGTTGGCTCTAAACATACGGGACTAGTAGTCCCGTATGTTTTCTGAGCCTTATTTTTCAAAATCGACCTTTTTTTTAAAAGATGTCTATTTTGCTAATTATTTTTCAAAGTGGTCTATTTCGCTATATATTTCATAAAAATGGTCTATTTTGCAAATTTTCCCTAAACAAAATAACCTAAAAGCAAAAAAAATAGCAATACAAGCTAGAAAAGGTAAATCCAAGTAATATGATAATTTCTATATGAGGCCTGTAATTGGGCTTGAGAAGCTTGAGTTTATATGTTCCCCGGAAAGTAACAAGTAACAACAAATGGAGAATGTAGACCTCCAGACAATAAAAATAAACAATAGGAGAGAAAATCAAAATTTAGAACTCAATTCAAGTAATGTTCGACAAAAGTGAAATGCAAATATACCTTGGCAAATGGAGAATCC